TCCACCGTCCACGGGAATGGTTACGATTTACGATGGTCCAGGATCCGCGACGATCGTGCGAATTACACGCTGGATAATTATCGGGACGTCACCCGCGTGAAAATTCATGGAACAACGATTTTAATGGAACAGGGTTCGCGGTTCATTCTCGTCGCCTCGTTATCCGTGATCGGAGACGAACGTCCACGCGGACTCGAGATTGCACGATCGTAATTAGGGTTAGCCCAAATTGAGAAGAATCGCGTTACCCTCGCGTTTCGTTTGCCGAGAAACGCGGCGTGCAATCGCGTCGAGCGAATTCCCGGTTAAACGCGGAAAACGCATTACGCTCGATATAAGACGGCACTAATCCGTGAAAAATGTGGTTGTTTCTTTGGCCGATCTGCAGGATGGATTTATGGGGCAAATCCTTGATAAGGTTTACGTCCCTCGATCGTATCGGTGTTTGCCGTCGGCCCTGGGTCCGATATACGGCTGCTCTCGCGCGAAGGAACACCACGATACAAATAAATATAATGCAGTTACTGGAAATATCATCAGCCCGCTCCAACAACTCGTAGCTCCGCCATTTCGCGGATAAGGATTTATTTCCCCCCACTCCGCCGCTGCTCGCCCTTTCTTCCGCGGTTACCACCGCTTTATCCAATGGATAGAAACGAGGTTAAAGAATGAAAGGTACCGCGATGACGTAGAAATATGATAGAAAGTTTGATGGAACTTGGCGAGCAATTTGCTATGAAGCAAAATTTCGGTAAGGATAAAAGTTGGACGTATCGGTGTGACGTTGAATGGCTACTGCTATTCCGAGAGGCTATTGTTAGACATTGATTTTTATCGCGACGATAGCAATTCCACCCCGAGGACGAATATTTTTTTGATTCCTCATCGAGGAATTTTGGAAAATATCAAAATCGAACACCGATAGATAAATATTTTTAAATCGACGAATAACACAATTATCCGAATTAAAAGAAACTTATTCGGAGTTATCGCGAAATTTGATAGAATAAACAGAGATTTCTGGATTCTTTATCAACCATCAGAGGGAACCTCGAGCAGAGCCAACCTCTCGGAGGAGCGATGGAATTACTGGGAATTCTTTCTCGAGTTCCAGCACGAGATATCGCGAAGAAGCTGAATATAACGAATTTACCAGCAATACCATTAGCTTCATCAGCCGACTCGTGCCGCGGCTATTTCATCTCGGCCAAGATCTCGGTTTCACCCTTCTTCGGCCCGTCAGCCGGTGTGGGATATATCGATGGTTGCCGAGAACTTAACTGACCTGAAACGGCCAGCAAACGATATAAGGATACGGCTGGATTCGGTCTACAGTTCGTCTGTTTGCGATTCGAGCATGAACAGGGGTTGTTTGTCCAGCCGTGCTCGACGTGGCGAATTTGCGACTGCGTGCGCGCCACTCGTGCGTTGCTTCTGGTGGACTAACTGCAACGGGAACCAGCGGGTTCCAAGAATTCGATATACCTCCCTGACTTCCTTTCGAAATAACGCAGATTTATACAACGCGTGACACGAAGATGGCTAAGACAGAGATAACGATAAACTCGGGAAATAAATTGAGAAATTTCAGTGGTAATATCAACTATAACGAAGGCCAGCGACACCAGCGAAAATAAATTTTTCCCAGGAACCACTTGCCATCGTTTAGGTATCGCAGACATCTCGGGGACGCGTGTGACGGAGCGAACGCAAACAATTTTCCCTAAGCTTCTAATAAAATAAGAGAAAATCCGCGTTCCACGGAACGCGAGACCAAAACATTTTTCCAAAGGTCAATTTATCCATTTCACCACGGTCCACGTTTCCAATATTGTCTATTTGCAATCCCATGATCGCACACACGAACTCGCCGCCCCTGATAGTTCTCCTGTACGCGATGTGTGCTCGATCGTATCACCGTATGTGGGTCAGACACACAAGGGAGGCGAGCTCGAACCGCTGCGAGCAGGAAACTCTGCATTCGGAACCGGACGAGACTTTCAACGAACGAAAGAGAAGGTTGAAAAAGGGAGAGACCACCGCGCCGGCTGGGATGAGTCAAGAGGCTAGGCCGGAGATAGTGCCTCGCTCTGATATCTCGAATCCATTTCTGGCTCGTGCCGTGGACAACCAGAGACCTCTACGATCTTCCCTACTTTTTCCCTCTTTTTCCCCTTTTTCCACCGCTCTCCACCGTGTTTCCCCAGCTTCAACCGTGCTCCCATCTCGCACGCGAGCCAGACGACACTTTGGCGAAACGTCGACCGAGAAACGGAACGCTCCTCCCCGCGAAAAGTGATCGGAGAGAGGTGTATTTCTATGAAATTACGATCCCCAGTTGCGGTTCCCGAGTTCGTTTCGACGAGGAATTCTTTCCACCTGGATCTACGTGAAGATTCAAATTTAAACTGGACCATGTTCGCTATGGCGTTTCATACCACGTGATCGTGAATTTCGTGACAGGTGCGAGATACGATTTTTAATAATGGTTTAAGTTTTATTTCATTAACGGAAGACGGTCGCGGTGTACCACGTTTTATCTACTCAAACTTTATGGTGGTTCGCACTGTTTTATTGCTACACGGTTTTTCCTCTTCTTTTATTAACCTCGTTACCCTGACAGTACCGTATCTCCAGCGGCATTTAATTCTGTCAGTGTCTTCGAATATTAAAAGACATTTCGTCAAACGTACACGATATGACGGACCTATACTACTAGCTGATAACGATTCCGCCGAAAATGAAATCAACGCGTAAGAGACGACAATAATTAAACATCCACGGAATATTGATGGCATATATGATGTCATGCTAGTGGAGAATAAGAACAAAATTATTCCTGAAAGGAGATAAACACGTTTGAAACAGAAATATTCAGACACCTACCTAATCTCGTTCATGCGGCAAGACAATCGGAAGATGAGAAAATTCCAGCACTCGTTCGCAAGCGTGTAGGCAAATATAACCGTGGTGTCTGAAGAACAGGAACACCTCGAACTAAAGACCGTAAACTCCACTGTCGGACAACTATGCCCCTTCGCATAATGCTTTCGAAAGCAGCTGCACGTCCGTCCACTATGTCAACTTTATGCCCCCGGAAACACAGGGACGGTAGGGAAAAAGGCAAATCGTAGTCGTTATTACCAATTACCAAACCGTTAATTCTATTTACGTTATCGCCAGAACGTGGAACGATTTTGGCCGACTGCTACCGGCTTATAAATCAAGCCCAAGTACCATTATCTGTCTCATACACCGAGCCCGATGAATCGCGACGGGCTATTATCGGGGCGATAGAAGCCGGAGAAGTTCGCACAATAACGCGTAATGGTCCGCGCAGTCTCGCCAAAGGTCGATAAAGGCTAATTAGCAGAAATCCTCGTCTCAGGTGGTCCTCCTACCGATTCCTAATCACTTAACCGGCGACGAGAGGGGCGTCTCGAGGGCGTACCGGAAGTGCAGCGCGACGGAGAGGGTTTCACGCGATCCACGCGATACGTGGCCACGTTCAGCTGCCAAAATTCTGATTGGCTCTCGACAGCAGACGTATTTGCCAACGATTCCACCGTCAGACGCGCCACACCGAATATCGGGATTGCTCGATTTGTCCTGCAAGCCTCGTTCCCGGGTAATCGCGACGGATAATAAACCAGGGGACAACTTTGCGGCTCGTAATTGCGACGAATGTGCTTGGTTGGACAAGATGGGTACCGCGACTATCAGTTATCGCTGGGAATGTTTAGACTTTTGCTGGCAAACGAATAGTCCACGATATCTCAGAAGATACTCGTATCGCGAAACTTAGTACACCGTAATTTGGAAAACAAATCGGGGAAATTATTGCTAGTCGGTAGAGAGAGATATCTGCGGTGACAAGGATAATAGAAATTTGTTTCTCCCTGTAATACTCGATAATTGTTCTATTGCTACAACGAGAAATCGGTAATGGGACCTCGAAAAACTAACGCAACTTCTATCGTTTAATGCTAAACCAAAGACATTAGAAAAATAATGATACGTACAGGATATAGGATGTCCCAAAATTCACGCAAGATTTAAATATTACGCCAATTGTGGGGTAAAAATATTGCCAACGAAAAAGAAAGACAGCGTGATAGCTGGCAGTTCAGGGTTATTAATAATAGCGCGCTATGCGACAGAACAACGCGTCTTCATTGTTAAATAATATTTATAACTTTTAATTAAAAATCTTTGTCTTCTATCAAAATTCTCTTGCGTTAATTTTGGGACACGCAATATACCGGAAGAAAAATGACAAAACGAACGATTAAGACCACGTAAGTCATCCTAAATTTAGTGTCAAGAATACACACCGTAGAAACTAAAATAAATATTACTTTTTCCCGATATATATTTTTACCCTTGGTATTTAAATATTTCAGCAAAGCAGACACGAATTATACGGGCAATTATAAAAATGGCCGCAAGCGGCGTATTCGAATGCATAATAAATTAAATAATCAATCACGGCGCACGACGGTTGCAACGTGGACGAATCCTTGGCACAATCCTTGGATAATTATTCGCAGATTTCGAGTTGGCCCGCTTTTCTAATTACACTGGCAGAATTAAACGACAATCGCGGCGCGAAACGAGAATCGCTGAAACGATAAACGTCGCGAGCTTTTCATCCATTGGCCCTGTCAAACGCGGCGTTCGGGCCGGATCAGAGAAGCGCCGGGGAAATAAGCAAAACGCTGAATCGTATCGACCACGTGTCGCGCGGGTTGGCACGCTGGCCGAAAATAATGATTCCTATGGTCTCGCGACAATGATCACCGGGCTGTCCGTGCCCGGGCCGTGACGAGGGCGAACGCTCGATGATTCCGCCTGCGAGCGAGTTCTGACACGCGACAAACCGTCGGTGATATACGATTTCGGTGTCGAATGTTTGTCACCGTGAGCCTCGCGGCTGCGTGCGTCGTGATTTACGCGCGGCGTCATTAATCAGCATCATTCGCGCGGTGCGTGTTACTCACCGGGCCGAACTGTTCGAAGTAGTTTTTCACGTCCTCCAGCGTCGTCGGTGCCGATAGTCCACCGACGAATATCTTCTTTGTCCTTGTCACCATCTGCGGGCAGCAAGAAAATGGCGGATGTTATTAATGGCGGCCTGGAAACGTGAATGGGGATGTAGGGTGAATGGGAAGAGTCAGACTAAGGGGAGTCGAATTTTTCCATCCGAATTTTTCCGATTTTTCCTTTCCTTTCTTATTCAAACTATCAGAAATTACTTTCAAAAATTATTTTCTTTTCTTATTATTATGACGTATTCCTTTCTTTTCCTTTTCTTTGATTCTTTGATTTGGAAAATGTGATGAGTCGTTCGGAAAATTTTTCGCAACAAAAGTGTTTATTTTACTGCTGCTTCTTTGGCTCGGGGAGGTTCGTCACCCTTCCACCAACCCTCTCGTCGCCAATACGTATCAGTGTTATCTCTGAAGCATAAATAGTCGCCTAACTAGGGCGATGCTTCCAAAGATTGCTTATAACATCGTGGCGACCTCGAAGAGTGTTCGATGGCCTTTTTAAGTCACAAATCGCGCAGGGGTACGTGTCGCGGATTAGAAAAATCAGAACACCATCCGTGACGCGTACCCCTAACAAAGAAAATATATAATCGGGCACACTCGTGCCAAGACACGGATGCACGGAAAGACCAGAACCATAGAGAGCGTTCCACGACGCGTGCCCCCCTGCGAAGACCAAAGATCGGGTGCACAGATGTAAAAATTGAGCTCCCGATCACCGGGAAAGTCAATCTTCCTGAAAAGATAATTGCGAAAAAATTCTTTTGTTTCGGAATTCTTTTCGATGGAACAATTCGTGTATAATACAGCGTAATACAGGAAGATCGGTATACGAGAACAGATAACCCCTAAATAACGCGATTAACTGGTCCAACGTCGCTCGAATCCGTGTTACACGATATGCAGGATTCGTACAAATTTGATGATCATGTTCCACGCTCCTGTTTATCGAAACCAATCAAACGAACTACTCGTGTTACACAATGGGTTCCCCCGATTTCTAACAATAATGCACGAACCTTAGCGTAACGCAAATAACGCGTTATTCGGGGATAACCTTTGTCTCGTTTACACGGGTTTAGAACGAGAAAAGTAACATCGATTCTCTTCTCTGTTACACGCGAGGCGTTTCCAAAAACTGTGCCAATATAATCCAGGCTATAAATATCGAAGAAAGTAGCATAAACTCGCCTCGGGATCGCGGCTGAGCTTAACTTTCGCGTAATCTGGGCCACCCACTAACGAACTTAAAAATTCCGTGGGGACATTATCGATTGCGTAAGTTGGAAAGGAGTAAGAGTACAATCGCGAATGATAAATTCCAGGGAAACCGATACCCGCAGCGTTATTCGAAAAATATTTATTGGAATTTCCATGGGAAAGACGGGGAACAATGGAATTAGAATGTTTTTCACATTTCGGGCTGCAAAGTCTCCTAAACGAGAAATCCGAATTTCTGGACACGTATAGACAGTTTTTGCAAACAGCTATTGATCGACATACATATATTTACGTCAACGTGGCCGCACACAGGCACGGCTAAATCGTACGTGTTCATATTTGGCATGGAAAATGGAACGTACAGGAAACAGAAACGATATTTATTTCCTTCGCGAGAACGCATTGAAACTCGTTATCATATTTTCAATAAATTTCGCTAACCGACCGGCAAAATAAATTTCGCTAAAAGAGCTCGCGCTAAAGCAACCGTGCACGATGATGGACACCTACGTTCGAGGAGATAACACGGCGTATCAATTGTCAAGGAAACAAGTTTGCCCGCAGAGCGGAAAAATAGTTTGGGAAAAATCTCTATTCGACGAAACACCCGGGAAAAAAGGGAGAAAACGATAGAAATAAATTCCATTTGAATCCGCGAGCAAATCTTTCGGCGAGAGAAAAATTTCGAAAATGGAGAAGGTCATACGTATTTCTAAACGACGATTCGTCTTTCCCATGGGAAATTTGTTCGCCGATTTTCTTCGCGACGTTAATGGTTAATAAATTTAAGCTTCGGAGGATCCTGAAAAGCGTTTTAGCATACGCTACGAAATATGTTTACTTTGTAGATTCACGGGCACAAAAATGCGCCGGGAATAATGCTCTTTTCATAGCGTGTTTTGGGGAGGAAAGAACTGGAAAGCGACGGTATACAGCGGGAATGGGAGAGACGGCTGAAAAATGGCACGGTCGTGGTTAAGAAATTGATAAGGAGGCTGATAAAATATGAATGGCCCGCGTCGGGCACACCGCGCCGGTTTCCACGGAAAAAGATCCTTTCATCGCCGACATTTTTTATATTTGTTCGAATCGGTAATGTCAATTCCGATCGCCATCGCTGTACCAGCTCCCGTTTTATACATTTTAAGCGAAAGGAAACGTCGCCCGGCATACCGGGGATGCTCGACGAAATTATCAACGCGCGCCCTGATATTCCGCGAAAATCTATCGCGCGCGTGTGTAAATTAAATCGGCCGGGTCCTTCGGCAGTTTGAATTCATTAACGAACACGTAACGTTTCGACATAATTATCTGTTAAATACGGATCGAGTAAAGCCCGCAGGTATTTAAGAGTGATTATAATTTTACGATCGTTATAAAACAGTCGTGGAATTTACGCGAACAAGTTTACGCGGGCCAGATAACAGGAATAAAGTTCCTTCCCCGTTTTACGTGCCTTTGGGCAACATTATCGACTCGATGTATAGTTACCGCAATTTCTACTATTCCGCGCAGCCTCGATATCGGCAGAGCGGGCCTTATCACTGCGACCTCCGAGGGAGAAGCATCGACAAAAACGACTGCCTTTTACGCGATACTCGAATATTACAATTTATAACCTCGAAAGTCGGCGAATTACGGATATCTGCCAGGATCCTCGACTATCGTCGCGATTCGAGGAGAGTCGAAGCACAGGAGGAATAAAGAATCTCGCACGTGGCTGCCATATTGAAAAGTTTCCGCGGATAAGTGGACGGAAACGGATCGGGGGTAACACGGCCACCGAGCTGAGTATACACGCTCGAGGCGAGATTTCTGAGACTATAGGTACACGCATCTTGGATATTCGCTGATTGACGGATTCCTTTGGCACGGAAACGTCTCCCTCGCCTAGGATTTTTCGAAGGTTACCGAAAGGTCGTTTAACGAGGGAAAGCGAGAAACCGACGATGCATCGGAGAGGGTAATTCCGTTACGGTGTAACGACGAACGGTGGAAAGCGTTTGCACGGAATCACGGAGACCGCGAGAGAACGTCGCGTCGCGTCGTGGCGAAACTAATTACCGGTGGTCGCTTTAACGGCGAGAGCGGGCGACGGGGGGCGGAGGGTAGAGACGGGGGCGGAAAAAAAGGGAACAAGGGAAAACGGCATTCAGACGGAGCATCTTAATAACACGATCGCAATGTAATAAAGCTCGTGGAGCGCGGAGAAAATTTCGCAGAAAAAGAGAGAGAGGAGAAGGCAGCGGCGGAGGAAAGGGGCGGACGGAGGAGAAACGGGGTAGGTAGAAGAGGCACCTAGGCAGAACGGGGGCTGAATACAGCGGAAACGGCAGAAGAGGTAAACTCTGGTAATTTCAGTGATGGCTGGGCTTAGACCTCTCTATATCCGGTGAGTAACGCAAACCCCTTGGCGCAAGTCCTTCCACCTCGTGGTGCCTGAAACTCAACCCACTCTTCTCTCTTTCTAATCCCACCCCTCCGGTTCGCGCTCATCCCTGTGTCCCTCTCGTCTCATGGGAGGCGGAGGATAGCTCGCGAACCTCGGCCGCCGGAGCTCGCTGGCTAATCAGCGAAGTGTATAAAGTCCCGGGGATGAAAATAAAACGGGCTGGATCTCGAAAATTAAATAAATGACTCGCCTCGATTCCGACGGCGAAAACGTGCCTCGTGAAAGAACTCGGGAGTGACAGACGAGGGACGAGAACGAGCGGAGCGAGCGAGAGAGGCGGAGAAAAAGAAAGGAAAAGAAGGAGACAGAGGGGGTGCGAGAGACTCGAAGAGATCGGTGGAGGGCCAGACCAGCGGCAAAGGAGGGCTAAAGGGGGTCGAGAAAGCAGGACGAGGGAAACGGAGCGAGAGATAGACGTGGATAAATAACGAGAACGGGAAGAAGGGGCAGAGGATACACGAGGCAAAGGGGAACCACTTATTCGAATGAAGTTGCAGCACCGGCAGCTCACTTGCTGCAGCTCGGCCGGAAGTGCCGAAAGAGGGAATTGAAGTTTCCTGATATCCCGTTGCTGAACGGGTTTCGGCCTAAGAGCCCGGCCGAGCTGCTGAAATTTTATTACGCTCCGCTACGCTCGGTCTCGTTTCGTAATGAGCGCATTGTCGTGCAAACGAGACGCCTCGCAACCGGGCCAGCGTCTCAGCCGCGATCCTTCCAGACCTAGCACCGGTCACCTCCTCTTTCACTGGCCAGCAGCACCGCTCTTTTGTCCCGTTACGCTCGTGTAATTTGTCCAAGAGTCAGACTGGCCGGTACGCTGCGCGCCAAGAACGCCGTGCCCCTTGCCGCGATAATTGCCGCCGTGTCGAAGTTTCCGCGAAATTTCGCGAAATTCCGCCGAGTTTCGCGAGAATATTCGAAGGGATGGAATGGAAAGCGACGAGTCGGAGCGAAGAACAGGGGTGGTCGCTTGTCCGACGAAGAATAGGGTGGAAAAATATAAGTCATAGGGACTGAGAGGTGAATGGGGGAACAGCGAGCTCGGGTCGTTAGCGGAGATAAGAGCGGATAGCTGCGGAATGGTAATGGAAACTCGGGGAGTTCCACTTATTATGCCGTAGCATTATGTAAATACCGGAAGACTATTACAATTTTACAACTTACTAGAGGCGACTTTATAGTTTCATCGCTTCGAGGCCGGTCTTATTCTCACCCCTCGTTCTCGATTTCCTTGCAAGCCGCGAGGAACCTTAACCCGAAACGACTGTGCCACCGTACACACGCGCGCCTTTCTATCCCGCTTTCTCCCCGTTTACTCGCCTCTATCTTCCGCGGTTACAAAAATGAAATTGTCGCGCGAAAGAAGCTG